AGGAAAAAATTTCTCCTCCTATTCCGTGTGCTTTAGTTTCCTCAATAGCCTCTGGTGTGGAACTCTACCGAAAGCCTTACTGAAGTCCATATACACAATATCATATTCATTACCATGATCTACCTCCTGAAACACCTCAGTGAAAAAAGTTAGTAAATTCGTAAACGGGGAACGCCCCTTTGCAAAACCGTGTTGAGATTCATTAATCCAATCTGTGCCTGTCAAGATGTGTCCTTTTACTAAAGACTGTGTCCTTTTACTTAACATATTGTCGGTAATTCTACCAACATTAATACACTCATACTATAATATCAGTTTTTAATATAAAGGCCTCTTTGTAACATTTCTTTAATTTTCTTTGATGAAAGTCCTGCATCAGTTCTTAAAGTGTTGTTAAATAAAGTCAGTAGTTGACAGACGGCGTTTCCCCATAAAGAGACCATCATTAGGTCAGCCAGTCTTCGCTGGCAGTTCAGTGTAAGAGAACCTTAAGCACGTTTTAATGAAATCATTTGTCAGCATCCTGAATCTATGTTGTCCATAAGAAACATGGCCGCGAAGAACATGGAATCTTGTGGTTACTCTTCAGATGACATGGATAACAATAGGAAGAATGTAGTTGTTGAGGCCGAGTGTGTGGCCACCCCACAACACCCACCTGAGGGAGACTCACGTCAAAACATTCTTCAGAATGACACCAAGCCTGCCATAGGCACCCAGGTTGGTACTAGAATTTTTCAAGGGTAGATGCATGTGTTCCCAGCAGGTTTCTTACTTTAAAATTGTTTTCTCGAAGGAGACTTTCACCAGTTGTTACTTGCCAGTTTCTGTTCTTGAGTTCCAGCAGTATTCACACTATCAGGGGGTGATGCTTCAAGGTGCATAGTCAATTATTTACATATTTACGAAGAAGTGTAAAATCCATATTGGGTTAATCTGCAATAGGGAGAAAGAGAGAAAGTGAGGTTTGGTCCATTGAAAGGGACAATAAAAATTAGCAATTTAGTGCACTTAATAATTAATACTGAATCAAGTCTAAGTAACTGACTCCAGTAGAAAGAAAGTATCTGAATGATGTAGTCAATGACGTGTTCGTTTGGAAATGGCATGCGTGTACGGAGTACCTTCGGAAATGACATGTCTTTATCTGCGAAGGCCCGAAGTGCGAGGTGCCACTCTCCTACGAGTGAAGGGCTTTTGGAGGAGGTCGGCTTTACCCACAGTGAGAGCGCAATGCACACCCACATGGGGGCTCCTGACGGAATCTGGTCTTAGAGGTCGGGCTTTGCCACTGTGGGAGTGCAACGCCCAAACCCAGGGGTCAACCTTCGTTTTTTTTAACCTTCTTCAGGGATATATTTTTTCAATCCATAGTAAAGAATTTTTGAGCAGAATTTTCTTACTGGTATACAGGAAGTCCTCAGTTAACGTCGTCGATAGGTTCTTGAACCAATTTTACCATTGGCTAATTGATATAACAAGTGTTAAGTTGCTACTGCAGAGAAAGACTGAGTGGGAGGCAGTAGTGTTGCAGATGCCATGAGTGGAGTATGTCCCCCAGGGGCATCATAAAAATTTTTATAATTTACTCTGTTTATTGACTTAAAAAAATCGAATAAAAGCTCCCATAAAGGAAGAAATTGATATAGTAAATCTGGTAAGCAGCTGCGGCTTCTTTGTTGGGCACTTGCAGACTCACCTGTTATTTATATGTTATGTAGTTTTAAACGTTTCTTAAAAAACATTGTTGTATATTTTATGGAATGTGCATTTACATAAATATTATTCCGTATAGGGTTTTGGAACTTCCTTGCAATTACCAGTTAAAAGGTTAAAATATATAAATCATACAGAAGTGTCTTCGTGTGT